TATAAGTAAATATTTACAGTAAATACTTTTTAAAACAGAAAAACATTTCCCAGATGGGAGAAAAGAAATCACATTTCCTGACCAGACTATCAAAAACTTATTTCCTGATGGACAAGAAGAAAGCATTTTTCCAGATGGTACAATTGTAAGAGTACAAAGGTATGATTTCTGTTAAATTTGCTTCTAGATTTGCCAAATTTCAACTTCTATTTCCAAGTGAATTTTTAAAATCTTAAAACATCTATATGTCATTCAGAATTTCAGTAAGTTTAGCAGTGAGTACAGATACACACTTTGAGAGCGTACTCATATTATAGCATATTCTTTTCTGTTTGGCATTTTGGAGTTTAGAACTAGAGACATACAGGTTCTAATATATAGTCTATAACCTAGAAACTTAACGGAAATCTGTATAGCACTTCACAAAAGGGGAATGGCAAGTATTTGTACAGAAATGAATTTGGTGGCGTGCCTGGGTGGCTGATGTGGTTAAGTATCTGCCTTTGGCTCAGGTCATGATCCCAGGGTCCTGGGACAGAGCCCCACATGGAGCTCCAGGCTCAGTGGGGGAGTCTCCTTCCTTTCCCTCTGCCCCTCACCACTGCTCATGCTCTCTCTCTCAAATAAATAAAATCTTTAAAAAAGAAATTAATTTGATGAAATATGAAAACAGTAAATATTTAAGACACAGAGAAAAAAAGCTACCCTATCAGTTTTTAAGAATAATCGAACGATTATTTGAATTAGACTGTATCTCTTCTGTCTTATATTTTGATTTTCTGGATATCCCTGTCCCTGCCTGATTAGTATTTTAGTCCTCTGGCCTCCCTGACTCAATTCTTTAAAATAGCAACTTCTTTATCCTTCTGAGTGTTACATTTCTTGAAATTAGAGACTTCCTAAGTCCACAATACAGAGCTTTTTGTAGTCATCATTTTAATTAAAACCATAGTGAAGGTCTGTCAAATCCACTGTCCTACTTATGTTTGTACCCTCCTCTCCTGGAGTGTGCATGCATTTAACTACTTGAGTTCAGTAATTGAAAGTTAGAAAAAAAAAAAGTAAATGGTAAAAACAATAAAATAATTCAATAATATAGTAATTCAACAATAATTATAATAATTTAAAATATAATAATAATAATAATTCAACAGTAAAATAATTCAAATAATGTAGGAACTTTGATGTTCATGGTAGTGTTTTCCTTTAACATGGTTTGAAACTTTCTTTGGTGCTCAACTAAATAAATACCAATCTCTCCTAAAACTTGAGGAAAATCTTATGTGTAAATTATACTTTGAGCAATTTCAGAAACATTTCCATCTGTTTTTTAACTCTTATGTTTGAAATTTTTTATAATAAAAAGCAGAGAAAATAATATGAAAAACTCCATGTACCCATCCGTCCATCTTCAACAAATATTAACTTGTGGCCAGTCTTTTTTCATCTACATTCAAGCAAATCCCAGATATCAGATCATTCAGGATTATTTTGGCATTTTTTATTTATAGTGGTTCTTCAACTTCACTGTGCATTAAAACCACCTGGAAGAATTGTTCAATTGCAGATTGATGGGCCCCACCCCAGTAATTTGCATTACTAATGTCTCAGGTGATGCTGTCTGTCATCCCTTGTCCTGGGGCTGCACTTGATAAAAGAGTGGCTCTCAAAACGGCTTTTTGGTCTTACACTTATATGTGGCATAAAGCCATTACATTCACATAAAATCTGAGAAATAACCAAAATAGAAAAAAACTACTGAGTTGAGAAATGGTGATTCACAATCTGTAGCCTAGCTTTGTGTTTCTAACGGCACATAAAGATTTAGATTCAGTTTGAATGTCCTGCACACACATCAAGCAGTCCACTTGGGATTAACAGCTACTTTGTTGCATGCTTCAGAATAGATCTTAAGTCTGATTTATGGCCCTTCCCAGGGATGTAAATACTCTTCTCCAACCTGATAAAGAGCAAGCACTCAGACTGCTTATAACTTAGTGAAAAGGATAAAGGTCAAAACTGAAAACCATTTATTTATAAGATTTTATTTATTTATTTGACAGAGACACAACGAGAAAGGGAACATAAGCAGGGAGAATGGAAAGGGAGAAGTAGGCTTCCTGTCGAGCAGGGGGCCCGACATGGGGTTTGATCCCAGGACCCTAGGATCATGACCTGAGCCAAAGCCAGACCTTTAATGACTGAGCCACCCAAGCTCAGTCATTAAAAATTTTAAAAATTAAAATTTTTAAAAAGATTTTATTTATTTGAGAGAGTGAGAACACACAAGCAGGGGAAGTGGCAGACAGAGGGAGAAGCAGTCTCCCCACTGAGCAAGGCGCCTGACAGGGGGCTCAATCCCAGGACTCTGGGATCATGACCTGACCCCGAAGGCAGCCACCTAACTGACTGAGCCATCCAGGCACCCCTGAAAGCCATATTTTAATATAATGTCCAATTTTTCTTAGAGGCAGAATATATATAAAATTAAAAAACCTAAGCATTTTGTAGTGAAAACATATATTCATTAAAACTTTTCATGGGCACATTTAAGTGCTAATCTGGTCAATGGAACTATCAGCTTGAAGCAGAAAGAGGGTGGAAAGAATTTTTAAAGAAGGTACTGTGCAGGGAGAGGACCAGTGGAGATTCTAGGAGAGGAGAGAACTGCCAGAATCAAAAAGCCACTTTTAGAGCATTTTCCTATTGTATATTTAATACTTTAAAGAAATTAAATTTTATTTTAAATTTACAGAGATGGCAACAAAATCATAGAGTTTAATAATGGCCAAAGAGAACTACACACTGCCCAGTTCAAGAGACGGGAATATCCAGATGGCACTGTTAAAACTGTATATACAAATGGTCATCAAGAAACAAAATATACATCGGGTCGAATAAGGGTTAAAGACAAGGATGGTAATGTTCTAATGGATACAAAATTGTAATGATCCTGTGCCTGACTAATCATGAAATAACATTAACTGATTTTCTTGTTAAAAAATGTACATTTCTTGTGGTTACTGTGGTTTAATTTATATATGGTGTGTATGTGTGTGTGTGTGTGTGTGTATATATATATATATATATATATATATATATAAATGGAAAAGACTGGATTATAAAATAAAACAAAATAGCTTTTTACATTCTTTGAAATGTACAAGAACAGCTTTCATTTTTAATTCACTTGTCTTTATACAGTTAAATGCACGACTAAGGAAAGCATTATTTGTTATAAACTGAATGGGCAAAAATAATGAGGCATTTCTTTTGAAGATGGTTCTAAAAACCAAGAAGTACAAGAAATAAAACAACACAGATATTCCATGAGCACATCAGCCATAAAACAAGGACTTGCAGAAAAAGTTTACTTGAGGAGTAAGAGAATGTCTCCAATCAGAATATACTGTGTTCAATTAGTACTAAAATTAAAGCATTTTATCTACTGAAGAGGTTCTTTAGTTGTAATAGAATGGGAAGTTAAAACACTGAATGAATACAGACAGATCAAACACCAAAAGAGGTAGAAGAATTCATTCTGTGAGTACAGATAAGCACAGGAGAAAACATTTACTGTGGTGGTATATAATGGTTAAAATGGGAGACTTGAGAATGGAGGGGGTGGGAAAAATCACTAGAGCTCGTGTTAAAGATCAACCACAGGTACTTTGATGTTAAAACCTATAAAACTATATAGGTTGACAGAAGCAAGATGTCCTTGAAGGAAGGACAGGTTATCTACATATCAATTTACATAATAATTACAGGTTGTATAGTCCCTTAAAGTGCAATATACAGTAATACTGGCAATGACTCCCACTTTTAAAAATAGCTAAATGTATCAATTCCAGGTGATTTTAGAAATGAATATGAAAAAAGTTACAAGCTTATCAAATAAGGAGTTATATATATTATTTCAGGATAAAAAAGGATTTTTAAATGAGACACATTGCAAACTTAAATGGTTGACAAATGAATGAAAAGTGTGTCCAAAGATACCACAAAAAAGAAAAGATGACCCATAGACTAGAAGATATATATATTTGACAAAGGATTAATATCCAGAATATATAAAGAATACAATTACAAACAACTCAATAGAAAAATGGACAAAGGATATGAACAAGCAAACAAATAACTATTAAACCAGTGAATACATACTGAAATAATGAGATACTTTTATTATATTAGAATCAATACTGGCAAATAACAGTGTGGCCACACCACACATTGCCAAGGAACTCAGACTACTGATGGTAATAAATTGAGTAAATCCACTTTTTGGAAAGCAATTACCCCATGACCCAGTAAGTTTCACTACTAAGTATATATACTAGAAAACCTATAATGTGTACACAGGGGCCTCACAGAAGAATATTTGTAATTGAGAAAAAAACTGGTAACAACCTAAATATCAGCAGAATTATGTGCAGAGATGGATAGGAGAGTGAAAGTGAATAAAAAAAAAGTTCTGCATACCAACATGGATAAACAGCACAAATAGTGAGAAAATTAAAGGTGCAATAGCACACTCATTAAAAATATATATAGCAGCAGTATACCTTGCTTTATGGATGCATTAATATGTAGTAAAATAAGAATGTAAGGATAATAAACACCAAAGTCACAACAGTGTTCATCTCTGCAGGGAAGAGAATAATTGGGGAAGGGCACTACAGGAGTCTTCAAATGAACTGAGAGGTCTGCTTTCTGAAACAATATACATTCATAATAAAATGAACTACATTTTTTTCATGTGCCTAAAATATGAAATTATTATAAAGTAAATCCAGAAAATATTTGAAAGCAAGTATTTATTAACTCTTTCAAACAACTACTGACAGTTTAACATGTAAGGGGGAAAAAAAAGGCCAGCACTATTGCAGAACAAGTCAAGAAAAATAAGCCTAAAATGGCTTATGCATAACAGAAAACTTTCTTCTAGGCTGCTGTATAGATGCTCTGCACTGTATACCTAAAAAAACCAAAATGCATGTTACTTTAAAACATTTGCTTAAGTAAATGTTCAGGCTAGTTACTGAATCACTTGTTACATTTATGTGGATGAATAAATAGCTGGTTACTCAAGTATTTTAATAGCTTTGTTACTAGGTCATGGATTGTTCAATGGTGTTCTGTGCATACCATATGCTAATGTGCTTAAATTACTTAAAGTGTCCACTTCCTTCTGCTCTTCTGCCCATCCCCAGCAACTATCTGTTACTATGATAGTCATTTCAAGCATTCTTACAGATGGAGATCCTCTTTGATTCTGGTATTCAATAGGTGTAAAGGGCCTATGAAGAAGTTTAGAAGAGAGATTCTTGTTGAGCTTTGTTGTCATTCTTCGAGAAATCAAGGAAAGTCTGAAGGTGCTTTTATGGGTAATTTAGCATTAATCTCCACTGTATTAGTCACATGCAGGAACAAGAAGTCATGATACTTACATCATTCATCTTGGTCCGCCAGCCCCATTTCCACTAATGACATATGAACTGGATATTGTTCATCTTCATATAATGTCACTATTTGTTCTGGTGCCTGAGCCTAAAATTAAAAGATAGTTGTCAAAAAAATACAGTAAGGTCTTTGCTGGTTTTCCCCTCCTACATCTGGCCTATATCACATAGGGAGGAAAACGCACTCTCCAAATTTATTAATAATTTATATTTCAAAAAGGTCTTTGTGATGATATCCTATTAAATCCATTCTTTTCATTCTTATACTTTATTTAAAATGTAACTCCAGGGTGCCAGTGTGGCTCAGTTGGTTAAGCAACTGCTTTTGGCTTGGGTCATGATCCTAGACTCCCAGGATCATGTCCCACATCAGGCTTCCTGCTCTGTGGGGAGTCTGCTTCTCCCTCTGACACTCCCAGCTCTTATGCTCTCTTTCAAATAAATAAAATCTTTAAAAAAAAAAAAAAAGTAACTCCAACACAAAGTTTTCCTAGATTAAGCCAATGGGCTTTAACACTACCATCCCTGTTAAGATTCAATTATATTCTATCTAGAAGGCCTTATGCTTTTATGCATAAACTGGCCAAATTATGAGTTATTCATAGAGATGAATAAATACATGTCTGTAAGAATACTTACTAGCCCTGTCTGTATTTTTACTGACTCCTTGAGAGAAACTGTGTATAGCTGTTTACACTACTCTGACACACAAAAGCATGGTACGTACGGAGGTTTTCAAAAAGCACTTTCTAGTGAAAGCACTGTTACATTAAGAGTTCACTCTTGTCAGAGCCAGTACATCAGGAATCTGCAAATCCTGGGTCCCAAAATCAGGGTAGATTGGGCTGAAAACAACAGTGTTGAGGATTAAGGTGAATTAGAATATATTTCCATTCAAAGGAGTTGTTATATGACTTCAGCTGACTGCCATTTTGGAAAAGAGACCTAGGATTCCTAGAATTTATAATATTTAATCAGAAATACAGACTTTTAAATTTTTTGTTAGTTTTTTTTTTAAAGATTTTATTTGAGAGAAAGAGCATGAGGGGGGAAGGTCAGAGGGAGAAGTGGGCTTCCCACCAAGCAGGGAGCCCGGTGTGGGACTTGATCCTAGTATGCTGTGATCATGACTTGAGCTGAAGGCAGATGCTTAACGACTGAGCCACCCAGGTGCCCCCAAAATAGAAACTTTTTTGGGGGTAAATTTTTCCAATTTTAAAACAAGTTCAGGCCAGATTCTGCCTATGGACTTCCCCTTTGTGACATGCTAAAGCTCTAAAGAAAGCATATTTATATTAAACATAATATGAACATTTGAACATTTATTTTTTAAATAAATGTATGTATGTGATATAGGGGTAGGTGTATTGATTGTGTGGTGTATCTGTGGGATGTTTGGTGTGTGTGTTGTATGTGTAGTGTGTACATGGGTATCTGTGTACAGTATGTGTTGTGGTTTTTTTTTTTTATGATTTATCAATTAGGGGGAGAGAGTACGTGTGCCTGAGCAGTGGGAGGGGGAAAAGGAGAAAGAATCTCGAGTAGATTCCCTGCTGAGTGCAGAGCCCTACACAGGACCTGTGTCAAAATCACAAGTTGGGTACTTAACCAATTGAGCCACCCAGGCCCTCTGTGTATGTATATTCTATATGTGTTATGCATTTTGTCTTTTTCTGTGTGTTATGGGTGGTGTTGAGTAATATATGTGTGATGTGTGTTTTGTTTTGGTATTGTAGGTTTGTGAGGTATATGTGTAGTGTTGGTATGTGTGTGGTGTATTTGTGGTGTTTGGAATTTCTGTAGTGTGTAGTATATTTTGGCGTGTGGTTTTGTGTAGTGTTATGTGTAGTTTGTGTGTGCTGTAAGGAGTGTATGATGTGTGCTGTATGTATGTAGTGCCTGTGGTGTATGAACAGTGTGACTGTGGTTTTGACTGGTGCATGGTGTATCTGTGGTGTATGTGTTGTGTGTGTTTAGTATGTGTGCATTATGTGTATGCGTGAGATGTGGGTGCATGGTATGTCAAACATGTATGCATATATGTATGTATATACTTATGTGTAAAGCATACGTGTGTTGTATTTGGTTTATGAGTGGTGTGCATGATGTTTAAGTGTTGTCTGATGTATTTGATATATGTGTAGTATGTGTGGTGAATAAATAGTATATTGATTTCATGTGTGAACAGTATGTGTTTGGTGTGTTTATGTTCCATGTGTTTTCTGTATTTGTGTGCTATCTTCCTTAGTGTATAGTGTATGCTGGTGTCTGTTGTGAGTGGTGTGTGTGTCCTAGTGTTGTGTGTTTATGTGGTGGTGGCTATGTGTGGTGGTGTGTGAATGAAATTTCTACACTGTGCATTGTCTATTTTATGTGTGTGTGTGGTGTTTTTGTGGTGTATGTGTGATATGTGTGTACTCTATGTTTAGTGTGTGTTGTGTATTTGGAGTATGTATGATATGTATTGTGTGTATGCTATATGTGCACTGAGTGTGGTTTTTATGTGGTGTATGGTGTGTCTGAGGTATATGTATGGTGTGTGTAAAACGTGTGCAGTATGTGTGTGTGCATGGTGTGTGTGTACTGTGTGTCAGGTTATGTGTGGCATGTGGTATCTGTGATTATGGTATGTTATATGTGGGGTATGTAAGTACTGAGTGATGTGATATATGTGATGAATAGGTGTTGTGTGTGCAGTGTGTAGTAGAGATGTGATGTAGGTGTGTGTATGAGGTCTGAATATTTTTTGAGTGATTTGTGTATGTTATGTTTGGTGTGTGTTGAATGGTGAGTATATGGTGTTTGGGTGTTGTGGTTGCAATTTATTTTGTATGTTCTATGTGTGTAGTGTGTGTTATATGTTTATTATGTGCATGGTGTGAGTGCTGTATGTGTGGTGTTTTTCAGTGGTGTGTATTTTTAAGCTATTCATGTGGTGTTGGTTATATGTGGTGTCAGCAGTGAATATGTGGTATATGAATGGTACTTTTGTGGTTCTGTGGTGTTTGTATGGTGTCTGTGCTATATGTAGTGTTTGTGTGTCTTGTATGTTTTTTTTAATTCTTGTTTTGTGTGTTCGGAGTGTGTAGTGTATTATGTGTGGTATATGTGTGCTCTGAGTGTAGTTTTATGATGTGTGTGGTGTGTTTGTGGTATGTGTAGTGTGTGGGAAAGGTTTTCAGTATGTGTGTGTTAGGTGTTTTTTTGTGTGGCATACAGTATATGTTGTATGTGTGGTATGTGGTGTATGAGTGCCTGTGTGCCATATATTTTGTGTGTTATATTCTGTAAGTGTACTGTGCGTTGTATATTTCTTTGTGTGTGGTATATGTGGAACATGAGTGTTGTATGTGTTTATTTGAACCTTTTGATGCAGGTTCTATTGCATTAAACAATTCAAAATTACTACAGTTCAGTCCTTTCCATGGGTTTGACCAGAATTCCCATTCTGGGAATGAAGTTTAATGTCACTTCGAGACCCACTCATTCACTTATCATTTGACTGTCTACTAAGGAGGAGCTCAAATACCATATCCTATCCTGATCTGTACAGAGGGAAGTAGTCCTTCTTGTACCTATATTTTATAGAACGTATTTCATTCTACCTCATATTTACAAATGGTTTACAAATGTTTCATTTCTCTCACTGATTTATGAGTTCTTGATTATAGGATACTCATCTTGATCATTTTAATCTTATTCATTACATCAGTTATATTTTATGTCATTGTAGGGCTAATAAAAATTTGCTAAATATAAACTGAAGCATAATTTTAACAAGCCTTAAAATTAATCTTGTATTTACAGATTTATATGTTTTAAAGCATTTTTTTTTCTTTTTTTGCATCTAGAGTTGCATAGATAGAAAGCACTTTAAAAAGTGGATAGGGACCCTAGAAATATCTTCAATAAGATTTTGGATAATTAAGATAGATAGTTACCATGGAAGAAGCATAAAGTTGTTTTCCTTGAAGACAGTCTATCATAGCCCACAGTGCTTCCATGCTCCATTTGGGACAATATGGTATTCTTGTCTTTCCTGGATCTCTTAAGGGAGGTTTAAACCCTGCCAAGAGAACCTTTATGGCGCGGGCTGGATACTGCATAAGGTGAAGAGGAATTTGACGCAATCTGTCACAAAAGAAATTCTTAAAATGTTCAGAATGTCACAATTAAAATTCTCTAATAGCTAAAACTGCAATGGGAAAAATTTATGACATTGGATTTGGCAATGAATTAGCTGTGATATCAAAAGCATTAAACAGCAAAAGAAAAAAAAATCTGACTACAGCAAAATTAAAAACTCTGCAAAGGACATAATCAACAGTGAAAAAGCAACCTACAGGATGAGAGAAAATATACACTAAAAAGTAGACATTTCTCCAAGGAAGATATATAAGTGGTCAACAACCACATGACATGGTGCTCAATATCATTAATCACCAGGGAAATGCAAATCAAAGCCACAGTGAAATACAACCTCACATCCATTAAAGTGGCTATTTTAAAGTGCCTGGGTGGATCAGTTGGTTAAGTAACTGCCTTTGGCTCACGTCATGATCCTGAAGTCCCAGGATCAAGTCTTGCATCAGGCTCCCTGAACAGCAAAGAAGTCTGCTTCTCCCTCTGGCCCCTCTGCTTCTCACGCTCTCTTTCTCTGTTTCTCAAATAAAAATTTTTAAAAAGGTGGCTACTATCAAAGCACCAGAAAATACGAAGTGTTTGAGGATGTAGAGAGAGACTGGAATTCTTGGACACTTAGGTACAGCTGCTATGGAAAATAGTTTGCTGGTTTCTCCAAATACTAAAAATAGAATGAATATGATCCAGCAATTCCAGTTCTCATATACCCCCGAAGAATTGAAAGCAGGGTCTTGAAGAAATATATGTACACTCATGTTCATACCAGCATTATTCACAATAGCTACAAGGTGGAATCAACACAAATACCCAAATATCCATTTATCCATGGATGAATGGAGAAAAAAAAGGTAGGGTACACATATGATGGAATATTATTCAGCCTTAAACAGAAAGGAAATTCTGACATATGCTACAACACAGCAAACCTTAAGGAAACTATGCTAAGTGAAATAAGCCAGTTACAAAAGGACAAATACTATATGATTCCACTTATATGGGATACCTATAATAGTTAAGTTCATAGGGAAAGAAAGTAGAATGGTGGTTGCCTGGTAGGGGAGATGAGGGGGAAATGAATGGGAAATATTGTTTAAAGAGTACAGAGTTGCAGTTTTGCAAAATGAAGAGTTCTGGAGGTTGGCTACATAACAATGTAAGTATAGTTAACTAATGTTAACTAATTTAATTGTTAATTAAAATAGTTAAATTAGTTAAATAGTTAATGTTAACTAATTTCAAATGGTTAAGATGGCAAATTTTATGATACATGTATTTTACCACAATATTACAACAAAAAATGGAAAATAACTCGTGTTGTCCAGAGAAACTGGAATGTTTGTGTATTGCTGGTGGGAATGTAAAATGGTATAGACACTGCAGAAAAGTTTAGCAGTTCTTCAAAAAGTTTAACAAAATTACCATATGCTCCAGGAACTCCACTTCTAGGTATACATACCAAACAACTGAAAGCAGGGACTCAGACAGCTACTTGCACAATTAATGTTCATAGCAGCATTATTCATAATAGCTGGAGGATGGACACAACCCAAGTGCCCATCAACATGTGAATAAATAAATGTATTTAGGAGTATTATTTAGCCATATATATTTATATATTTATATGTATTTATATATATTTATATATATTATATAATATATATAATGTAATATATATATTATATACAGAATTTCTGTTTGGGATTAGGAAAACATCCTGAAAATAGACAGTGGCAATAGCTGCACAATATCCTGAATATACTTAATGACAATTAAATGTATACTTAAAAATGGTTAAAATGGTAAATTCTATATTTTACCATAATAAAAAGACACAGACTTTTAAAAAAATCCTAATAAATAGCTTTAAAATAGTTTTTCTCCTAAAAGAAAAGCCAAAACTTTCCCAATAATTACTATTTAAAAAACCTCTAAGAATTCTAGTTCAACTAGGTTGACAAAAATAAAACAACCTGTTTATTGTCAGTTTTTCAGTTGATCCGTAATCAACAAATTGTACCAGGACAGCTAGAGGATTAAATTCTTTAACAGACACAATCTTTGCTCTATACCATAAGCCATCATCATATTCTGCAAGGCAGGGCATTTCTGGAAAGAAAGAAAAAGGAAAAAAAATCACATTACCTTGTATTTTCTTTAAAAAACAAATTTTTAAATACAGAAAAGTATAAAGAAAATGTAATCATCATAAACCCATCATTCAGATTTAAACAAACAATAGTCTGTCATATGTTGGATTCTGCTTTTTTCTGTTTATAATTTATACAACTTGTTTTTCCTAATTCCTAAGAATTAAGCTCTTAAGAAAGGCACCTCTCCCATTCTCATAGTTTCTAGTTCTGCCCATGGCTTCAACTATCCTTCAATGCCCGCACTTGTTAGACCCCCCAAATTTTTCATTTAAGCCATCATCTTCTGCAGAAGATAATAAAATAGTTTCTGCTATTCCTTTCAGTTTTGAATTTAAAAAATTCAATTGCCTTCTTTAAAATTCTTCAGGGGCATTATAACCATCTGCAATATCAAGTGCTTAGTACTGTAATTATAGGGTTCTTCACAATTATTCCCAACCAACTCCTATCACATATTTCCATGTGTTACCTAACTAGAATTACCTAAACTTCTATTTTAGTTCATGGCAGTTCCCTGTAATTAAAATGTTCCCCTATGCCCTTTTCTGGATAAACATCTCTTTCAAAGATCAGCTCCAACATGATTTTTATAAAAAGCCCTCACTACTCCTAGTCGTAGTTTCTCTGTGACCCAATGGTACCGTGCATACACCTTTGATATGAGCTGTTATTTTCATACTGAACCTGGTTTTCTTGTCCCATTAGTCCTTATGTGCAGAACTGTATTTGTATTGCTAATATAGTACCTGTTACAAGCAATTGCCCAATAGAAAATGTGCTAATAAATGAATGCCAGGCTTGAGTAAAACTGTGGAAAAATTAGTATAATAAGTATTCCCTTCTCTATAGACATTTTTAGATTTGAGTAGATGGAACACACTCTGAGCTCTTGTCTTACCCTACTTCCATCCCTCTCTTTATATTATCATATTCTTTTCTACATAATCTCCACAGAAGTGTAGCTGTGGGCAAGTCATATTTAAACACTACATGACTCTAATGTACAAAGATTTTTATCAAAGAGTTTTAAATAATTTCTTGTGTTTATTGAAAAGATTATCAATAGAATAGTAAAGAATGTCTTTTAATTGAGCTGTCTGCACAGTAAGCAATTGACTGAATCACTGTTAACAGTCTCAGCTTTTACCATTTCCATCCTTAAAAACATGGCTGAAAGTTCATCTCAAAATAGAACTAAAAAAATCAAAAACCAAAAAACCCAGCCAACCTAGTTGTGTTATTTTAACCTACACACCTTTTTAATAGGCACTTGGTTATGAATCAACTTGTACATATGCATACTTTAAAAAAACTTATTGAAGGATAAAAAAAAAACCTACAGAAAAAAATAAAATACTCACAGAAAAAATAAAATGCCCACAGAAAATGGAGCTATATGTAACTCCATGAATGATCACATTACACACAGAATGCTTCTGCTACTTCCCTTGAGACAAGAAGACATGAGGAAGGAACTGCTTCTTCCAGACTATAAATCTGAGTTTATACAAAGTAAAAATCATGAACTTATTCTTCCACTCATTCAACAAATGTTTATGAGCACCGAACTTGTGCAAGGTACCCTTCTAACTGCTAGTGACACAGCAGTACAAAGAGTCCCTGTTCAGAGTGCTATTTAAAAAAGGAAAAGAACAGCGGCATTCCATATGGTGATCTTTTCATATGTGAATGCTAAATGATCGTTTAGTGATCTTTTCAACCGACCACAGAGGAAATCCGCAAATTACCATGGCAGATTTTGTTTGTGTTGACACTTATGTACACAATCAAATAGGCTTTTCCCTAAGTATCTCCATCAAAGGCTTGATTTCAAAAAAGAAAAATATCCCCGAGTAGTAGCTGTAAGAACAAAGAATAAATGTAAACAGAAATTACGGTTTTCTTTATTAATACATTTTTACTATATTATAACCTTGTACTAATAATCAGTTTTAAATGAGTGATTAGTGAGAACAAATTGACACATTTTCCTCATTTCCTTATAAATAAATGGGTATTATCAAGTTGATTATTTCTGAAAAGAAATAATACATTTTCCTGATGATACGAAAGTACCACTAAATAAAATACTGCTATTAAAAAAAAAAAAAAAAAAAGGAAAAGAAGCCATGGAGAAAAATGGCATAGGAGAGGGTGGCAGGCAGTGCTACTTTATATGGGGAGGACAGGGAAGACCTGCAATATGGAGACAGTTAAGCAGAGATCTAAACTGCTTACAGTTTGGGGGAAGAACATTCTAGGCAGAGGGAATAGCCAGTGCTGTTTATCACCAAAACATGAGTCACAACTAATTAAAATCTCATGGAGTAAAATCAGGTAAGACTTTAGGCTGATGTTTTCCTTTGCTTTAGCATATCTTTTGATATGTACAAAATGCTATGAATAAATCTATATATCACATACTGATAAAAATGTATAGACACACAAACACAAAAAGACACACACACACAAAATGTAGACACCACTCTTGCTTTTCAGAAATTGTCAACACCAGTAATAAGATGCGTTTTATTCATAGAAGAATCACATATATTTACTAAATATGGGTAGAAATGGATTAGAAGGAAAAAAACATGATTTGACCTATCCTGACAGGACAGGACAATCTGAGCTCCCCTACACTATTTCAAATTATCAGTGTAGATAGTTTGTAATTAAAATTACTGCCATTCAGGTGTGAATGACAACTCTAACAATTTGAGCTAATGGCAAAACCTCAAGCTTAGAAAAATCATCTTTATGCAATTTTTCAATGCAGCCTGAGTTTTAGAAAATGGAAGTGACCCAAGGCAGTTATTTCCCTTCTCTTACTTTACTCATCTAGAAAATGAGAAAGATCATCTATAGAGTGTCTTGAGGAATCAAAGAGATCATGCATATAAAGTATATAAAAATATCATATGATTTCACTCATGTGGAATTTAAGAAATAAAACACATATATAGGGGAAGGGAAGGAAAAATAAGATGAAAACAGAAAGGGAGACAAAATATAAGACACTTTTAACTCTAGGAAATAAACGGCTGCTGGAGGGGAGGCAGGTGCAGGGGATGGGTAACTGGGTGATGGACATTATGGAGGGCATTCGATGTATCTAATAAGCACTGGATGTATGCAACTGATGAATCACTAAGTTCTACTTCTGAAACTTATAATACACTATATGTTAAATTGAATTTAAATAAAAAATTTAAAAATACATCAGTTAACATTAGAAATAGCTGAAACTCAAAAGCCCTTAAAACAAAACAACGGTTTATTAAGAATCCCATTTTACACAGAAGATTTAGTATACCTGTTCTAAAATCTGTCAGAAGAGGAAATGTCTCCACATTCTTATTAAACCTCCGCAGTGCTTCATTAAGGCTCTCAGACTCAGATTCCCAGCTGATTCCACTGTCATCTGTATCGCTATGCTGGTTAAACAGATTACAACTTTCTATAGAATCAAGGCAAATATACACCTAAGTGGGGGAAAGAGAAGGAAAAAAACCTTTCAAATTCTGTAATGTTTAATATTCATTTATATGGACAAAATTACTGTGGTAGTCTCTAACAATGGATCCCGATGATACCTTGTACAGTTCCCCTCCCACATGATACCAGAATTGATCTTTGTGACCAAAAGATAATGACATAGGTGATGATATATGACTACTGAGACCAGATCATCAAAGACATGTGGCCTCTGTCTTGGTGGTATGCTCTTTCTACAACTGTTCTCTCTCAGGGAAGCATGCAGCCATGTTCTTAGCAGACCAGTGGGGAGGCCCACAGGGCCAAGAACTGAGCTTTCCAGGTAACATCCATGGAAGTCTTTTTGGAAGTGGGTCTTGCAGCGTCCCCCCAACCCCCCACTATCTTGGCTGAGCACCTGTTAATGAGAGATCCTAAGCCAGCTCTTAATTAACTAGCTCCTGGATTTCTGACTCTCATATGTGTTTTAAGCTGCTAAGTTTTGGGTAATTTGTTATGCAGCAATAAATAACTAATATGAAAAGAAATCATTATAAAATCCAACACAGTTGTATAACTGCTATCCTCCTTAATGGAATTAGCAAATTTTCCTGTGAAAGAATGGTCTAATATGTAAAACAGCTGAAGGAACTGCCTGTTCTACTTAATTTGCCACTTTTTTCTTCTTTCTTGTTAGGCCAGGACATATAATTGAATTTTCTTTAGGGCACTTATTTATTCAATCAATATTTATTGAGTGACTACTATATATTAGGCAATATTCTGTATCCTGGGGACACATCTGTGACCAAAAGGGGCAAAACTCCCAGTCTTCATGTAGTTACATTCTAATAGGGAGAAGCAGACAAACATAGTAAGAAAATATATTAGAAGGTGATAAATGGCATGGAAAAACAGAGCAGAATAAAGAGTATCTAGAGTTCAGTGTAGGAAGAGGACCAGGAACTGAGATGTTTAAGATTTCAAAGATGGAAACAGTTCTGCCTTAAAAATTTAATATTGACATAAATAGACACTTGAAACCCAGCAAGTCTTTAAGAAACACTTGCTTCATTAACAAATGTCTGAAGAGGAAATTATACAGTTGGCACACTGGAGGTCAACTATTTAAAATCATAAAGATGAGAAGAGGAGTTAAGATGGCAGAGGAGTAGGGGGACCCTGGGCTTGCCTTGTCCCTTGAACACTGCTAAATAAACACCAAATCATTCTGAACACCTGAGAAATTGATCTGAGGACTGAGAGAAGAAAACTGCACTTCTACAAGTAGAAAAATGACCACCAGGTGGAAAGTAGGGGCTGCAGAGAATGGATTGGGGGAGAAAAGAACAGTGAGTGCCATGGAGGGAAGGGAGCCCTGATTGCAGAGAGAGAGAAAAAGAGAGGGAGGGAAAAAAAGGATGAAGCAGCACGCAGGGGATGACACAAGAAAAACTGTTCTCCAAAACTACTGACTGGGAAAAAGAGAAGAAAAGTGTGGATTCCCACATATTACTATAAGCATCAGAGTGCAAAGTCTGAAGTTTTAGAAGTCCATGCTATTACTGAGGTCATGCCTGGTGGGCTTAGTGGTACTCCTACTGGGAAGGACGGCTGAGACCCTGGAATAGGCAGTATGGTCTAAGGATCCTCTAGGTAGTAAGGCGAGAAAGTTTCCCTTCTTGGAGTGCATCTGGGACTGGTGGCACAGCTTTTCCAGGGACAGAAGAACTGGTGGAGCCAACGTACTGCCCCATTCCCTAACACAGGAACAGACACCAACTGAGAGCAATAAGCCTTGGTGTTGGCTTTTTGCTACACTTAACCATAGACTCTAAACAACTGCCTGTCATGCAACTACTTTTATGGGACAAATTGGCAAATGGCAAAAGCGTGGCAAGACCCTCCCCAAGAGGATCAGTGTGGATCTATGCCCAGTGGGTCCATAAAATTTAGAGTTTTGAAACACAGCGATATGCCTGAGATAAAACATAGGAGTACTGTGCCACCTAAGCAGACAGACAACTTGGACAAAGACAGGGTGAAGGTAGGAATCTAACAGAAGCTGGGGGCATAAGAGGCGTGACTGTTTGCTCTTCTGTGAGGGCTTCCAGAAGAGTGGCAGGCTTGAACTCCCCACTCTGGGAATGAGAGAGCAGGGTGACGCCATTTCCCTCTCCCCCTTCCATTAGCACTGACCGACCTCAGGGAGCAACAAAGCACCCCCCTAGTGGAGACCACCAAGCTCCACTCTCCTGTGCCTTGCAAGTGCAATTCCACTAGGACAAGTCAGCCTGAGAATCAGTGCAGCAGGTTCTTCCCTAGAAAATCAGCACAAACCTCTCACATGCACCAAATCTACTGATCATAGAGTGCTGTGAAGCTTCAGTTCTAGGGGAAGTAGGATCTAGCTGTTGCTTCTCCTTTATTTTTTAATTTTTTTTGGATCTAGTTTCTTTTAATAAGCAAACCAAGACACACCTAGTTAAAACTTGCCACACAGTGGACAGGGTCTAAACATGCCTCCACCACTGCAGGCAAGGAGAAACTCTGCAGAGGACTGACCTGAGGGTAGGAACATCAAAACACAACAACAGAGTGATATAGAATCCCTCCACTTTTTTTGGACTTCTTCTTAATATAGTCATTATTCTCAGAGGCAGGAATATGACAAGCTAGCTATCATACAATAAAACAGGAACCTAGAAAAAATGACAAGATGGAGGAATTCACCCCAAAAGAAAGAACGGGAAGAACTAACAGCTAGAGATGTAATCAATACAGATGTAAGTAATCTGTATGAAAAAGAATTTTAAAAATTTATAAGGATGGTAGCTGGGCTTGAAAACGAATAGAAGACATTAGAAAATTCCTTACTGCAGAGATAAAAGAACTAAAAACCAGTCAGGCCAAAATTTAAAATGCTGTTACTGACTGGATTCCTTGACAATGAGGATGGACAAAGCAGAGGAATGAATCAGTGATACAGAAGATAAAATTATGGAAAATAATCAAGCTGAAAAGAAGAGCTAAAGAAAGGTATTGGATCACAAATACAGACTTAAGGAACTCAGCAACTCCTTAAAGCATATCATAGCAGTCCCAGAAGAGAGGGAAAAGGAGGCAGAAGGTGTATTTGAGCAAAGTATAGCTGAAAATTTCCCTAAGCTGGGAAGGAAACAGACAATGAAATCCAAGAAGCACAGAGAACTCCCATTAAATTCAGCAATGGTGGTGACCATCACCACCAAGACATATCATAGTCATATTCACAAAATAAACAGACAAGGAAGAATCTTGAAAGCAGCAAGGGAAAAAATTCTTAACCTACAAGGGAAGATGGATGAGGTTTGTAGCAGATCAATCCACAGAAACTTGACAGGCCAGAAAACAATGACAAATATATTCAACATGCCGAATGGGAGGAATATGCAGCCAACTCCAGCAAGGCTGTCTGTCAATCAGAATAGGAGAGATAAAGAGTTTCCCAAAGAAACCTAGGAGTTCATGACCACTAAACCAGTCCTGCAAGAATACTGAAGGGGACTCTTTGAGTGGGGGGAAAAAGGACCCAAAGCAACAAAGACTAGAAAGGAAAGAAAACATCACCACAAACACCAACTTTACAGTTAACACAATGGCACTAAATTCCTATCAATAATTACTACGAATGTAAAGAGACTCAATGTTCCAATCAAAAGACACAGGGCATCGGAATGGATTAAAAAACAAGACCCATCGATACGCTGCCTACAAGAGACTCATTTTAGACCTAAAGATACCTGTAGATGGAAAACAAGAGGATGAAGAAACATCTATCATACTAATACATGCCAAAATAAAGCTGGAGTAGCTATACTTATATTAGTCAAACTAGATTTTAAACCACAAATTGTAACAAGAGATGTAAAGTGGCACTATGTCATATTTAAGTGGTGTATCCAACAAGAAGACCTAATAATTACAAATATTTATGCCCCCACCTTGGGAGCACCCAAACATATAAATCAATTAACAACAAGCGAAGAAACTCATTGATGATAATACAATAATAGTAGAAGGGTTTAATACCCCCACTTACTGCAATGGACAGATTAAGCAGAAAATCAACAAGGAAACAAGGCTTTGAATGACACACTGGACCAGGTGGACATCACAGACGTATTCAGAATACACCATCAGAATACACATTCTTTTTGAGTGCACATGAACATTCTCCAGAATAGATCACCCACTGGGTCATAAATCAGCCTTCAACAAGTACAAAAAGATCGAGGTCATACCATGCATATTTTCAGACCACAACAATATGAAACTTGAAGTTAAACCACAAGAAAAAAATATGGGTGTTTACACAAACAAAGACTCATGTAACACTACATCAAAAACTAATGATGTACGGTATGGTGACTGACTAACATAATGAAAAAAAATATGGAAAGATCATAAATACATGGAGATTAAAGAACATCCTTCTGAAGAATAAATTGGCTAAACAGGAAATTAAGAAATAAAAAAAATGGAAGCAAACGAAAATAAAAACATGGTAGTCTAAAACCTCTGGGATGCAGCAAAAGTGATCTTAAAAGGAAGTATACTGCAATGCAAATCTACATCAAGAAGCAAGAAAAGTCTCAAATGAACAACCTAACTTTACACCTCAAGGAGGGAGAAAAGAAACAGCAAATCTAAGGCCAGTAGAAGAAGGGAAATAATTAAGATCAGAACAGAAATAAATGATATAGAAACAAAAAACGCAGTAAAACAGATCAACAAAACTAAGAGCTGGTTCACTGAAAGAATTAAAATTTATAAACCCCTAGCCAAACTTAATAAAAAGGAAAGAGAAAAGACCTAAATAAATAATGAATGAAAGAGGACACATCACAACTACAGAACTACAAATAATTATAAGAAGAATAATTATAAGAATATTATGAGGAAAAGGAGTCAAAATGGCAGAGGAGTAGCAGGCTGAGATGACATCAGGTAGCAGGAGATCAGCTAG